GCCAAATATGTATTTTATGGCGGCCATTTTGAAAATCCAAAATTGCGGCCATACCGGGATCTCCGCAAATGTAAACATTGTTTTTCGGATTCCTCATGCTATGACCTTTCCAAAAATGTATAGGTTTGCTAATCTACCATAATTCTGAACGAAAAAACATAGTGAACCTGACTATATATAGTCTTTCCCGAAATCTGTGAAATATTACGATTTCTGTTGTCATTTCAAAATTAGTGCTTCACAGTGTGGTTAGAAAACCAATATCATAACGTGATAACTCCCTTGGTGAAAAATTCCCCAAAACAGAACTATACCACAACCAAACAATCTATCAATAAAATAAAACCAGTCAATCAATCAACCAATTAATCAATCATTCCCGAATAGAACTGTGCCAAGATATCGACCAATCAAACCAAATTAGCCAACCAATCATGCAATAAATCGATAAATCACTAATATCGAGCGAGACGCGCCGCGCGAGGAAGTCACGTGCCATACCTTCACGTCATCGATGGCCTTCCTGAAGTGGCAGTGTATGAGCATGATGGTTTCTATGGCGATGAGTGACAGCTTGTCGCAGGCTCGGCGGTCAAGCGCGCGGTGCAGCTGGTCGGCCCACAGCGCCACGCCACCGGCCAGCATCTTCACTAACACCTCACCCGACTTCCTGAACACGTCCATGTCCTGCGTGAAGGTTACGTAGCAGTGATTACTGACGCAATTCTCGCTACCGGTAAAGCCGCGTCTTTTTCAACACGCCCGCATCCTGCGTGAAGGTTACGTAGCAATGATTACTGACGGGAAAGTCGCTGCTGGTAAATACTATTTTGGCACATTCCTGTGGTTACCTAGTAGGAGTGTTTCTGCATGTCGCCACGGTTACCATGTAGTAGTGCTTAGACGCATCACCACGGTTATCTGGTGTGAGTGTTTTTGTGCATCGCCGTGGTTACCCGATAGGAGTGTTTTGACGCGTCGCCACGGTTACCTGCTGTGTTTTCGCGCATCACCATGGTTACCTGGTACGAGTGTTTCGACGCGTCGCCGTGGTTACCTAGTACGAGTGTTTCGATGCATCGCCGCGGTTACCGGCTGTGTTTTCGACGCGTCACCACGGTTACCTGGTAGGAGTGTTTCGCCGCGTCACCGCGGCTACCTAGTGCGAGTGTTTCGACGCATCGCCAAGGTTACCTGCTGTTTTCGTGCATCACCACGGTTATCTAGTAGGAGTGTTTCGCCGCGTCGGCGCGGCTACCTGGGGCAAGTGTTTCGACGCATTGCCACGGTTACCTGCCGTTTTCGTGCATCACCACGGTTACCTGGTAGGAGTGTTTCGCGGCGTCGCCGGTGATGATGGGGATGAGTTTGGCAGCGTGGCAGAGGCTGTGCTTGAGCGTAAGCCCCGCTCCGTAGCAGAGCAGCTTCTTCGCTCGCGTCAGATGCCGGCACCAGAGCTCCTGCAGGATGCCGACGTCGTAGAGTCGGATCACCTCGGCAACGCTCGGCAACAGCTGCAACGGACGGGAGCGGGACGCTGTAGAGGGCAGCATGGTGCAGCAGCCGGTGCGTAGGTTTTAATTCGATGCCGGGCCAACAATTCGTCGCGTAAGATAACCTGATTTACACCACCTTTTTAATGCCTTTCATTTAATAGCTTTTACCGTTCACCGGTAGCTTTCACCTTCACTCATGTCGATTGTACCTGTGCCTTTCACCCCCGTCTTTCACTTTCACCCCTGTTTTTCACGTTCACCACTGCCTTTCACGTATACCCTTGCTTTTCACTTTCACCCCACCGTTAATTTTCATCTTTCACTATCATCCGCGCCCATCCCTTTTACCCGTGCTTTTCACGTTCGTTCACCCCCACTTATAATTTTCACTCATGCCTTTCACGATCAATTCCTATCTTTCATGTACACCCATGCTATGCCGATGCCTTTCAATTTCACCCGTCGCCGCTGCGAATCTGTCTGCACTCACCTGGTGGCCCATGCGACGCAGCTCCCAGCGTGGGTCGCCGAGGCACTCGATCGTCTGATGCAGCAGCTGCTGCAGGATCGCATACATGTCCTGCAGTTCGAAGGCCGTCATCCAGGCGGACACGGGAGCGATCTGCATCGGCTCCAGCTTGTACAGGGACATGTAGTCGGCCGCGCACGTGCTCTGTGACGACATGATAACACGTGGTTAAGGAATTGTAGCGATTATGTATGTACACGACAATGCGTGGTAAATTAATCGCAATTCAATTGCGTGTGCAAGCATGCTAGGCACGCAGCGAATGATTACTCATACAACAATTGTGATTTTTTTCTCGGAAAAAATCGAAGCAAGCAAAGCATTATGTTAAGCCTGCAGCAAAAGATTACTCATACAAGAATTGATTTTTTCCTCGGAAAAAATCGAAGCAAGCAAAGCATCAAAGCATCAAAGCATTATGTTAAGCCCGCAGCAAAAGATTACTCAAGCAAGAATTGCGAATTTTTTCCCCCACTTGAAACATGACACGACCGCTCTGCGACACGAAAAGACGCAACGAGGCGACGTGGCTGGCAGCACTGCTGGCAGCGGGCAACGTGTGCGACACGCTCTTTCCTTAGAAAAACAAATGACACGATGCAAGATCCCTTCCCTTAGATACCTTATTCTCGGGATTATTCTCAAAGTCCTTGGTCAGTTCCAACAGGGACTTTGTTCGCGGCGAAGAGATGTGGCGATGTCGGGTCGTGCCGCCTCGCGTCGAGGACGTGCGACCTAGAACCTTCAGCGAGCGGTGTTTGTACAGGCCTCCCTGACCCACGTTGAAGTAATCTACACTCGCAGCTCTGTAAGCAAGCGACAACCGGTCACCGTGAGAGTCAGAGTAACGAGTAACATCAGCAACGACTACCTCGTGGTTACCGTTCATGATCGCAGAATTAAACAAAACCAACTGAAACGTTTAGCTATGTGTATATATAATGTTGGCGGTATAATAAACTGGCTATTTGCACAAAATAGATGTGTAGAGGAAACTGAAGAGGTAGATTCACGTTGATTTTGACAGACAGTACAACAGACTGGCTGTCTGTAGAACGACTCAAAAGTTGATAATTTACAAAAATTTCCGAGAATAAATCCAAACGAAAACATGTATATTACGTGCACGCACATACACGCACATCATACGCACACATGCACGTACAAACGCACGCTCACGCATACACACATCACACACACACACACGCACGCATACGCTCATGCACACACATATACCATGTACACACGTATTACCCAAATATATTCCATTCCGTGTAGGTATGAAGAGTTAGGGACTTATAACTTATCATATAGTTAGATGTAGTATGCGAATGCTAATACCAACATTACTATAACTGATAGTTATACTGAGAAGGTCTATGTCCCCCAGGGTACTGCTGGAACGTACCCTGGGTACGGTTCGATATATCGGAACGTACCCTGGTACTATCTAATATGCCGGACCGTACCTCGCCTACTCCACTAATGAGTCTAGGGAGTCGCCTACGCCTACTCCCTAACCCTAACCCTAACCATATCAGATAGTTACCAGGGTACGTTCCGGTATACCGTACGTTCCGGTACCCGTACCCAGGGTACGTTCCGGCAGTACCCTGGGGGACAGACCCTATGAGCATAACTGATAGTAATACTGAAAAAGAGTTCAAGAGCTCAAGGGTGAAAAAGGTTGTGACGTGTTCATTTGTGTCATTAGATAGAGACATTTACTCTCTGTGAATCCTGTGCTGAGAAGGTGGATATGTGAAAGTTTGGGCAGGCTGCTTCGGTTGAAGATAGATAGCATAATTGCAGCAGGGGCTCTCCAAGGGTTATAAATTTTGGAGGGGTGTGTCTGCACTTCTAAAAAGAAAGGGGTGTAACTTTGATTCAAATTTCATTTCGTTTCATTTCACCACAACTACACGTACACTATTGCTTGAAAACGTTTGTGTGATTTTAGTGGTTCACATTGCTCCGTAAGCAGACAAACGAGTCAAACATCTACTGCTGAGCTCTTATGTCTTCCCTGGTTCGAGCTGACAGCACTTTCTCCAGTGCACTCGTTGCTCTAGCCGAATGCACTGCAACCACTTACACATAAATGCTAGAGGTTGCATAATAATCATAACTGCATTGCCTACACAACTAAATTCCTACAATGATGCCTGGCGTGGGTACAGAACGCGGGATGGCTAAGCAACATAAAAGAAAGTGTAGCTGTCACATCGCAGCGATGCTGGCGAAAGCAAATCTTCGTCATGCGTTGGTTTGAGTCGGCACGATCACAGTCATGCCACTCACTGGCTGGTCGTGAGCCCGAGCATGGCTAATTACAATTAATTGAAATTTAAATCAATAAATTAATTAATGCTTCGTTAACTGTTAACGCTTTGATGGCAGGATGGCAGCTTGCAGCCCCTCAATGCAGCGGTCAAGATGCCCATTTTATGGCCATTGTCATCGCATCGGTTAGTGTGCCGTCGTCAAGGGGCAACCGTCACAGGTGTTAATGTCAAGGACAGGTCAGCAACACCAAGGTCAACACATTGACCGTGGGCCACTAATACAAAGGCCAACACAATGAACATAGACAATCAACACAGAGGCCAACACTTTGAATATGAACCATTGACACAGAGGTCAACACATTGACCATGGGCCATTAACACAGAGGTTAATGTGTGGACCAGACTCCCAGCACAGAGGTCAATGTACTCGTGCACGTTGTGGACGGACTGCCCACCGCCTGACCACGCTGCGCATTCTGTAAAAGCGTCGCGACGCGAGGGAGACAATTGTACAAGCCAGTCGCCTCGCGTGCGGTGACGCAGCATCGTACAAAACAACAACAGATTGCAAGCAGCGGCATGCCGAGCACGTAGGACAACAGTGATCAGAGAGGTACCTGTCAAGCTGACGCAGCCGAGGGGGAGGCTTCCTGTGAATGCCAAACGCACAACATACCATTTCGTAAAAACAAGGCCACGAACAGATGAAACGGTCTTACGGTCTATCTATCTACGCATATCCAATTTACGAAGAGCTAATAATACTATAAAGCTATATGTGAAGCTATATTACTAGCTCTTGACGTTATGTATTATTATCCACGTATTCACTAGCCTAATGCACTAACAATTATAGGTCTGCGAGCTACGGCTATGTGCTGTCCAGCAGCTATGCTACAGTCATAGTATACAAAAGTTGAAAAGGTCTAGCCTATTGTGCGATGCATCTATGACATACACAGCATATAAGCAAATAGGATCGGCTAGTTGTTGGTTATGCGTTGTATGTATGCAACAAACACGATAAGGAAGTAGACCAGTTAATTATTGCTATACTATTATATATAAATATATATATTATTTGTAACATAAAAACATCTAAATTAGAAGAAAAAGATACAATTGCATAATATTATGAAATCATGCACATATATATATATATATATATATATATCAAGAGTAGATAATAAATGTGTTATTATCTACTCTTGATATTACGGGGCGCCTTGCAGGACAGGGCTCAATTTTGTCTAACAAAACTCAATTCTGTCTCACAAAACTCAATTTTGTGAATATAATAACGTAAATGTTTTCAATTTTAGATTCAGGAGCCTTAACATGATTAGTCTTAACTTTTTCTGGATACTTCTTCTAACTTGACAAAATTTCCAGCTAGGGAAGTGACTAACGACGCTACATCCATTACTGCATTAGTACACCTTCCATCCACACCGCAGTCGTGCCTAGAGAAGCAACTAACCCACGTGCGATGACTGCATGTGCACGTACCGTCTGTCTGATAAGACGTGCCATCTCAGTGAGGGCCATCGTACAATGTTGCCTGATGCTTTCTGGCCCCTGGCTGCTATTGCTGCTGCTTTTGCTGCTGCTACTGCTGCTGCTGCTGCTGCTGATGGTGATTAGGCATGGGCCAACCATGGACACGATCGCAACAATGCTGCAAGAATAAATCGATCATTCTGAAAAACCATCAACATGATTAATCAAATTAATCAACATTATTCATAACAAATAATAATAAAAAATCATAAATGATAATCGAAGAAAATACAATAAACAACGCAAAAAATAAATGAACCAAATGCAAGTGTGTAAATATACGACGTCCGACCCCCCCCCCCTCTCTCCGCCACTCACCCGTCGAACAGTGCCCTGCACTCACTCTGGCGGGCAGAGTAGGTACCGACGAGGCGTGTGAGCACGGGCAGGGAGCGCACGCATCGACGCACGCTGCACGTCTTGAGGAACGCGGCCAGCGTCGCGCTCGTCTCCCGCAGCAGCTGCTGCTCCACCTGCCCCGCGAGCTGCTGCCCGCCCGACGCCCCCGGCTTCACGCTCACGCTGCAAACGAAACAAGAAGCGTCATGCCGCGCAGAGACCTTCGCACGTCGCCGTTGCCACCATGGGACACTAGGAGCAATGAAGATCGCACGAGTTGGCGTGATCGCAGATTGACTGATGTGATAATTGAGGTGTCATAATAATGATATGTTATCAGATATAAATGATTTGTTAAATGATTGAGGAAGTGCACTCTATGTATGATATGCTATGGGTGTATAACTCGGGTTATCGGTGCACAGTAAATATCAGCATATAATTACATATAGATATAGATATAGACACAGATAGCAATATAGATATACACACAAATACAGATAGTAATATATCTATAGATATGAATATAAATGAAAATATAAAAGATATATAAATACAGTCAGAGGTATAGATCATGTAGATAAATGTGTAGACATGTTCAGTACATCATCAGCAGCAGCATCGTACCTGAGCAATCCCTCGGATGGCGAGTAGAAGCTTTCGCTCGGCGAGGCGAGAGACTGCGCGAGTCCGCTGCTCGGGTGAGCGTGCACAAACACGTGCTCGATGAAGCCAAATATGCTCTCCTCCTGCTCACCCTTCTAAAAGATGCCACGCAGCAGCCGGTCACGATCGACGTCATAGTTACGGAAAATTTGGTACGTCTGCTGGGCTACGTTGTTGTTGTTATTGTTGTTTCATCTTTTTCCATTATCAATTGTTAGTTGGTGTTTCAAAAGGAATTCTGGTGTGGCCGTGTTCGAACAAGGGAACGCAGTTCATTGACAAAAAAATTGTGCAAAATCACATATTAGTCAGGTTCACTATGTCAATAAATTAAATTTCGTTCAGAATCATGGTAGATTAGCAAATCTATGCATTTTTGGAAAGGTTATATAACATGAGGAATTCGAAAAACAATGTTTACATTTGCGGAGATACCGGTATGGCCGCCATTTTGGATTTTCAAAATGGCCGCCATAAAATACATATTTGGCCGTATTTCTGCCTCTAATCACCCTAAAAACTTTTTAAAATATGGT